GGTGGGGGTGGGGGGGCGGCATTGGGGGAGGAGGGGCGAGGGGAGGCTGGCGAGCGGCAGGCTAGCTCAGCAGTAGCTGCGATCAGAAGCAGGGCTGATCACTTCATTCCTCATCTCGCGGCCGCGATCCACGTGCCCTGGGCCCTTTCCCCGCCTCCAATTTTCCCGTCTGCCCGGGGAGCCTTGAAATGTACATTTGAGAAGACTTTTGCCATCCTCAGGGAAAAGGACTGTGTCAAGAGTGAGCCACCCAGTCTCTAAAGCTAGGAAGCCCCCAGTGTGCCGCGGGAAACGCTTGCCTCTCACCCTGTTTCCCAGCGCCAACCTCCGGGGCAGGCATCCGGGTGGAGAGAGGACTTGTCCCTCGTGGGTGGTGGTTCTTTATAGAAAAAATCGAAGCTTAGCAGCTCCTCGAGGCCCGGTAAGTGCACACCCCACGAACAGCCCAAGTTTGCCTCCTGGTGGCCACTTTGATGCCGTGGCCCTGACCTAAATCAAAGAAACTGGTTATGCTGGGAGGTCGGTGCGCGTCACAGGGGCGATGGCCGCGGCAGGGGCGTGCGGGCTCGTGGCCGGGGTCCTGGCGAGCCGGGGGGGGGGGGGGGGGGGGGGGGGGGGGGGGGGGGGGGGGGGGGGGGGGGGGGGGGGGGGGGGGGGGGGGGGGGGGGGGGGGGCGGGCGGTGAGTGGAGGTTTGGGGGGGCGGCACCGGGCCGATGTGGGCCCCCCCGCCCCCCGCCGCGTGCTTGTCGGCTCCGTGCACGGGCCGGGCGGCGGCCTGCCTCCCGCCCGGGGCCCACTCAGCCGGCTCTTCTGTGTGCTCTCGTCTCCGCAGGGTTTGGTAAAGGCTCCAGTGTGGTGGCCTATGAAGGACAATCCTGGCACGACTACTGCTTCCACTGCAAAAAATGCTCCGTGAATCTGGCCAACAAGCGCTTTGTGTTCCACGAGGAGCAAGTGTACTGCCCCGACTGTGCCAAAAAGCTGTAAAGTGACAGGGGCTCCTGTCCTGTACAATGGAATTGAGTCTTGTTCTCCGCGTCCTCCCCACCCCTGGGGCCAGAGCGGCCTCTCCCCTCCGGAGCGCTCCTCCTGCCGCTGCCCCCATTTCACGGCGTCCCTCCCCGGAGGGCGCCTGTCACCGCGCTAGTGACCGCACTAGGGTGTAGCTGCCGGCTTCAGTCCGCCCCCCCCTCCCCCCCGCTGCCGTGAGGACACCCGCACGTAGCTAGAGCCGCTCTTCTGCATGCTTGTCCTAGCGCCGGCCCGCGCCGGCCACGTAGCTGCTTAGGGATGCGAGCGAGAGCCACGGCGCGGGACCCCCGCTGAGCTGCGTCTCGCGACTCAGCCGGGACCCGCCGCGTACCGGCCCCCACCCCCACCCCCCCGCCCCCCGGGGACCCGCCGCGTCCCCGGGACCCGCGAGAGTTGCAGCGGCTGCCCACGCCTTCCGTGAGCAGAAAGCGAGCTTACCGAAATGCATGGTTGAACTTCCTCATCAGGATCTCCCTTCGGTTCTTTTGTGCTTTCAAACGACTAACACGAATTTCCAGAAAGTTAACATTTGAACTTTAGCTGTAAGTCCCTCTAAACTGACCTCCCCCCCCAACCCCGCCCCAGTACTAACCTCCATTTCCCCCGTGTGGCGTGTTTTCTGAACGTTCCTACTTTCAAGCGTGGAACGTGCAGGCGATTTGCAAAGTGCAGGCCGACCCGAGAGAACGAGCCTGTTTCACAGGAACATTGTCACAGCAAATCCTTCTGGAAGCTTAACAAAACTAACCCAGCTGCCCTTTCTCTGTTTTGTTGTTGTTTTTTTTTTTTTTAATGATTTCGTTTTAATGAATAGTAACATAGTTTATGGGTTTGGAGACTTGCATGTCGATATTTTCGCCCCCTCAAACGTTCCTGCAGTTTTGAAAAATTCATCCTACACACACTCGAGAGGGGTAGCTGAGCAGGCGCCAGGACGGCCACTGACCCAATAGGATGTTTCCGAACGGTGACGAGTTGAATCCCTTGTAACACGGTAGCTGCCTGCTCTTGGTCCCTGTCAGTGAACGGGCCCGCCCAGTCCCTCCTCCTGTGACTCTTAGGACTGTCCCTCAGAGCTTAGCTGGACCTCTGGGGGAGCGGCGACCACCCTCACGGGCGGAACCGGAGCCGCACGTAGTGCTTCCCTGAGCTGCAGGCTCCCCTCCTTCCTGTACTCTCATCGACATTGTTATAGGACATAGTATAATGAGACAGTATCACGAGTCAACACGTAACGCCAGTGCATATGAACATTCTCGTAGGAGTGGTTAGCGAAGCTGATGCCTCATTTCTACGTTTTGTCATTCGCTATTATCCTCTAACGTTTCAGTGTATCCTTACAGAAATAAAGCAGCATATAAATAACCCGCCTGGCCTTTCACTTCTGCCGCCGGGGTTGCCCTCAGGGGACACGACTCATCCCAGAACCCCCGTGATGGTTTTCCTCCCTCCAAGCACGGACTCAGTGCAGTTACACAGAACAGAGGAACTCTAAGCAAGATAAAACCTGTAAGAGCACTCGGATCCAGTTAAAAACAACAAAAACCCACTCTGACCCAAAATAAGCGTTTGGCAGATGCTCACATCCCTTAAAAAGGGCATCGGTTTTCTTGGGCCGGGGGGCCGGGGGTGGGGGGGGGGGGGGGTGGGAAGGGAACGGCCGCTGGAGGGTGTAAGAGGATCACAGGCCCCATTTGGTCGGCTGCCCCTTCCCTGTGCCCTCCGGAGTGCGTATCCGCTGCTGTCAACCGCTGCGGCGCCCCCCCCCCGCCCCGCTCCCGGGGGGGGGTGGGGGGGCCGCCGGGAGAAACTCGCTCCCCCTGGTGGCCGGCCCGGGGAGAGGGCGACGGTCTGAGGAGCATCGGGGCCACAGGGCAGGGGACCCTTTGGTGCTAACGTGGACCTGACCGTGTTAGCAGGCAATCAAAACCTGTCAGCAAGAAGCCATGGGCATTTTTGTGAACAGGTGACATCCCCTTGGGTCTGTCTCCCTAGAGAAACGAGCAGTTAAAACCACAAAAAGTGTCTGGTCATCAGGCCCCAAGGGAGCAGGGGTGGGGGTGGGGAGTTGGGGCGGCACCCCTTTGCTTCCCAAGGGAGCTGGCTGGCTTACAGAGATGGCAAGGGACAGAGCCCAGAGGGGACAAGCCTGGGATGGAGCGGGGACTTCCTTCAGGCCTCCTCCTCCCTGAGCTGGTGCTTGCCCCCCACCCCAGTCCCTACTGCCCCCATCTGCCCTAGATTCTACGCTCATCCTCCATCCTGTGTCACCCTTCAGCCTTCCGATCCCACTAGGCCCGCGAGACTCCAGCCCGCTACAGGCCCGGGGTCTGCTGCGAAAACGCTGCACCACGACCACGGCTGTGCGCGCCGCACAAGCCCGGCCCAGCCTGGCCAGCTCGGCCTTGGCCGGGGAAGGCCCAGCACACGCCCCTGGCCTCCTGGCAGGCTGGCTCCTCCCCGCTCCTGCCCGGGAAACAGGTCTGGTTCGATAGCGAACCCTCACAGCCCCCGCTGATGGCACTCTCGCCCCGTTTTCCAGATGGGAATGCGGAAGGCCCGAGGGGTCTGCCGGGGGCCATTGGGACCAGGCGTTGCCACAGGAAAGGTGAGCCCCCGTGGCAGAGGCAGTGTGGGCCGCATCACAATGAGGAAACCATCAGGTCCCTGCTCAGTACTCAGTCTGCAGAGTGACTAAGACACAGGAGGAAGGCGGGGCGATTTCTAGTTAGCAACTCTGCCTCAGAGAACCCTGCTCTCCCTGGTAATGACGGGGGTCAGAATATCAAGAACGTCCCTACCTGTGGTGCACAGGGTGGGTCCTGGAGCGGACGGCCTGGGGTCAAATCCCAGCTGCTCGGCCCCTCACTATGCCCCCGAGACCACAGGCAAGCTTACCTGACCCCTCGGAGCTGCCTCCCTCGCCTGTAAAAGGAGACAGAATTCCAACCTCCCAGAATCACATGCAGATCACACAGTACGAGCGCTTAGCAGGGTGACTGTCACCCAGGAAAAGCGCTCGATAAATGTTGGCAAATTTACTTGTACCTCCAGCACCAAAGGCAGTCTGTTACCTGCCATGCAAGCCACAGGACCCTTCCCACTCGCGGAGCAAGATGGGGTGTTGTTGGCTTTACGGTCAGACTTGAATTTGAGCCATCAGCCCTGCTTCTTCCTAGTTGTACGAGGTTGAATGAGTGCCAATCTGCACCAATCTGTGTCCTCCTAGGTAAAAATGAATACCCACCCTCACAGGGCTTTAAAAGATGACTAATAATATGATCCCTGGCACGTGGCACGTGTAAATGTAACTACAATTATTGCGAGACTTGGGGAACCCCGGGACACACCCATCCAGGAACACTGCAACAGCAAGGCGGCCTGCTTCGACAAAACCAGGCCTGCATGGCCCCAGGGGCCGGGGCGGGGGACCCAACAGGCCACCCCCGGGAATGGGCCCCTGATGGAATGTGGCGTCCAGCCTGCCTCCAGGCTTTGGCTTCTTGGCACAAGCTCCTGCGGCACTTTCTGCCTCACCTCCTGATCTGGCTCTCGCCACAGGGAGGGATTCCTCGGGACTAAAAGGGGACTCCGAGATGATAGCACAGTCGCATGAAAACGCAAGCCAAGGGGCGCCTGGGTGGCTCAGTCGGTGAAGCTGTCTGCCTTCTGCTCAGGTCATGATCCTGGGGTCCTGGGATAGAGCCCCGCGTCGAGCCCCCTGCTCCGCGGGGAGCCTGCTTCTCCCTCTGCCTCTGCCTCCGGCTTGTGCTCTCTCACTCTCAAATTAATGAAAGAAGAGAAAGAAAAGAAAGAAAAGAAAAAGAAAGAAAGAAAGAAAAAAAGAAAGAAAGAAAAAGAGAAAGAAAAAGAAAGAAAGAAGAAAACGCAAGTCAAGTCCCAGAGCAAACTCCCTGCCCCCTCAGCGAAGACTCAGGACTTGCAGTCCCTGCCTGGCATAGCGCACGGCGGCGGCAGCCAGGGGGCGGGGCCGTCCCAAGGCTTCGTACCCGCGCGAGATGACGCAGGGGCAGGAAACGGGCTCACACGCAGACCCCACTGGCAGAGGCTAGGGACCTGTCCCTCAGGGGCAGGGACCCCGAGAGACTGCCCAGAGAGGAAGGAACACGTGAGGCAACCAAGGTGTCCTGTACCCCCACCAGGTTCAAGGGCACCGGCCCAGGGAGAGGAGGGGGGCTCGGCCAGCGTGCACCACCTGGGAGCTGTGGGCGCGTTGCGGGTGGTGTGCGCGCCCCGGGGCGTCCCGGGTGGGCAGCCGCCGCAGCTGGACCAACAACGTGGAAGGCCAGGTGGGGCTGGGTGCCGCTGTTCTCCTCGGCACCAGACCCCAAAGACGGGATAAACGGGGACCTCGTCCGACGAAAACAAAACCGAGCAGAACAGAACGGGTCTCCCATGTCTCCGGGTGGGACGCTAAACATCTGCAGTAGGTCAGGACATGGGGTTTAGCCTCGCACGGGAAAGGGGAGGTCAGGAAGAGACGTGCACGTTAACAGCCCCGTCACCGCCCGAGCGCACGCGCAGTTCTCCTCCATGCCAGGCGCCAAGAGTGAGGCCCCTACAGGGGCTGGGGAGAGGCGTGGGGAGTGAGTGCTTAAAGGGGACGGGTGTTTTGAGGGTGATGAAAATGTTCTGGAACCAGATACAGGTGGTGAATGTGAATTTCACCACAGTTAACAGATACTTTTTAAAAAAGCTTTGTCAATTTTTTTTTTTTTTTTTACTTAGAACACGCGAGCAGGGGGGAGGGACAGAGGGGACGCGGGGCTGGATCCCAGGAGCCCGGGATCATGACCTGAGCCGAAGGCAGACGCTTCACTGACGGCGCCACCCAGGCGGCCCAACAGAAAAATACTTTACAATCACCGGCCTCAGGGAGAAGAGCCACGGCTGGCAAGGCTAACAAGCACCGAAACGGGCACAGAATGCCAAGGCTCGCACCTCCGCACCACATCACCGGGAGCTGGGGGGGGGGGGGGCGCAGCGGAGGATCTGCTCGCCTTCCACTGAACTTGCCACTTGCCTCCATTCAAAGCCTGGTTACCTATTAGGGTCACCTTTACACCACCAGCAGTAAGCAGTACGTGTTTTGTGATTAGAATGAAAAAGAAAACTTGCTTTATCTGCAAAGTTTATTTCACAGAGCACACATACAAATGCGGGTGCAACAGTGTTCCAACATGTGACATTTGTGCAGAAGAATACCAGAAACTAATTTGTCAAAGGATGATTGTCTCTGCCTTCCATACGGAAGAGCTAGTGTATAAAAACAGTTTTCAAATCTAAGGCACCAAGCTCTAATCCACAACAATGGTACAGTCCTCTGAATGGCCAAGAACTAAGGGATCAGAAAGAATTCCTTCCTTTTACTAATCCACGGCTGGTGGCTAGAAAGGAACGTAGGCCTGCTTGAAACCCGTTGTGATTCACCAGAAAACCCATTAGGAATAGGAGTTTGTGCATTCAAGTTTTAGTCGATGGTGTGTATAAGCAGAATTTGACGGATTTCAGGAAACCTACCCTGTGCGTGTGCGCGTGCATGCAAACGTGTGTGCGCAGATGTGTATGCACATGCATACGTGCGTACACGTGCGTGCGCGTGTGTGTGCACGCCTATCTATCACGGGGACCAAAGAATGGCACTGCTTCTGTGCTCACTCGCAGCCAGTGGCTAGGGAAAGGCAAGCAGCTCTGGGCCCGCATCCCAAGGCTGAGTGGGCACCAAAGCACAGGCCTGGCGGGCACAAGGACCCAAAGACGACCCGCTGCCAACAACTAGGGGAATGACGTGGGCCCCGCCAGACAGCAGCCAAACACTGCTTTAGGTACAATAAAACCACCACACATTTTTGGAAATAAACCCCCAAGGCGCGCTTCAAAAAAGTAACACTGGTGAGCACAGCAGGTGCTAACGCTGTCCCAAGAGCACACTTTCTAGGACCTGGAGCATTTGGGGGTGCCAGGGCCTGTGCACTCGGGTGACGGCAGAGTTAAAATCATACATACGTAATGGTAACACGTGACGTACTGTATTTTGCAACCTCCTGTTTATGAGAAACAAGCCAGGGGAGCTCTTGTGAGCAATCCTGAGTCCCTCGCACACCCCACACGGCCTCTACGAGATCGAACGTCCGTTCTGAATTGCTAAAGTAACGTAACTGTGAAATAGGATAAACAGTATTTTAAGAGAAAAAATTCCTCCTCAGCTTAGAAACTCAAGAGTGACCACTTCTGGGTGCACTCACACACCCCGGCTGGAAAACAAGAACGAGACAGTGGAGGTTTTTACAGGAAAACAAAAATGACTCTTTACTCAGAGCCCTTGCTGTTGGCAAGAGTCAAGATGACAACATGCTTCGGAGACATACATTAAGGTGTCTGTCTGATGTTTTCCCTGTTTTTGTTGGTCATTTTGGTAGCCGGGTTCAAGTCAGAGGCAGAAAAATTAGGGGGTCTGGAAGTTGAGATCCAAAGCAGATGAATTCTCTTCTGGGCTGCGCGAACTTTACATATCTGACTGGAGGGAAAAAGAAAAAGAACAGTAGAGAAGATGCTGGTCTTACTGCCACTGGGCCCCAGCCTCTCTTCGCGGTGGGTCCGGGACCTTCGGCAACGGCCCCCCTCCCCGACCCAACGTTGCTGACACACTGGTGCCCCCCAGGACCCCAGCGCCCAAACAGGCCCAAGCTGCCTCTCAATTTCAAAGAAAGCTTCTTAAAAGAAAGAAAAGCAAAGGCCTTTTGGTTTTGGAAAGTCAGGCTGAGAGACTTAAGTCCAAAGGGCTGACTAACCCTGTGCCCTAAACGATTATCGGCATGCTGCAGAGCAGCTGGTGGATCAGGGGGGCTGACGAGAACCTACTCTGTGTATCTGGTAGGAAACGCAGGGCATCAAAACTGGAATCAAGTCATTTACTCTCTCAAAACCAACTTAACGGAAGACCCTCTGATACCAACCTAGACTTCAGACCCACCACCGTCTCCCTACTTGCCTCAAAGTTACAGGGTGCCAAGAAGGCCCTGGAAGCGCCATAAGCAGGAGGGTTCATGGCCAACTGCCTTTCAAGCAAGGTAAAAACAGGAGGAGGCCTTACCCGATGGAGCAGGAACAGATTTGCTTTTCTTGTTGTGTAAAGGCAACGGGGGACTCTGGTGGAATGTCATGGAACCTTTCGGATGGTATTTTCGGCTATCAGGAGGGATACTGGACATAAGGGACTCTGCCTCATTTCTGATGTCAATAATTTTGTCACAGATCCACTCCTGTGCCTCTGGATATAAACTCTTGGAGGGTCCCACGGTGTTACAGGTTTCACTTGCCTTTCTGGTTTTTGCTGCTCGGCTGGTCATTCTTTAGATGGACGAGCTGGAAAGAGACGCCTGGGTTAGAATCCTGACAATCCCAAAACCAAGGTTTTGTCCTGAAAGCAGCTTTATCCTTAAATGAAGGGTAAGGAACTTCTCCTTCAGAATCCTAGCATGGGAGGGCAGGAAGGGAGCCTGGAGACCACAGAACACACTGGTTTCCAAATTGTGTCCTGCCAAGTCCCAGGGTTCAGCAAACACTAAGCAAGGCCAGGAGCAGCTGAGCACGCAGGGCTCCAGAAGCCCCGTCCCCATTTCACGCAGATCCGGGACTCGGGCGGAACCGTGGAGGGAGGACGGACACGGCTCTCCCCGCTCCAGGGCTCGGCCCTGCCCGTCACTGCGCCTCTCGGCCCCTCATGTTCCCGTGGGCCTTGGACGTTCATGTCTTTTTAAGCAACCCCCAGGGAGCCTTCCTAAGAACCTATTCCCACTCTTCCGACCTAACTTCTGACCCTCAGTTTCCCCGTATGTAAAATGACATCCATACTGAAGTCAGAGTTGCAACGAGCATCAGAATAGGCAACATCAAACACCGGGTATGCAGCAGTCACTCAATGCCCCCCACCCCAGGTTTTATGAGCAAATGCTAACCAGTGGGCACAAAAGCACAGCTTAGAGCCGGATGTATCTGGTTTGAATGTGGGCTCTGCCCTATCACCATGGCATGTTGGGCAAATAAGGCCCGTCATCTCTCCGTGCCTCAGTTTCCTCATCTGTAAAAGTGAAGATGATAGCCCTTACCTACCTAGTAAGGCTGCTGTGGGGATCAGTTTATTTCTGGAAGTACTTGACACAGTGCTTGGTACAAACTAAGAGCTCAGTCAATAATCTCGTGTATGACTCCCACCAAGTTTATTCTGATAAACTTGCTGAGTGACTCACCTGGTACCCTTTGCCTGAGCCAAAGGGTCTTTCGCACTTTTTTGTCTGAAGTTTTTCATGTCGCCATTAAAAAATGTTTTTGTCTCTCTATGGACTTGGCCAGAAGTGGCGTCTAAAAACACCAGCTTGGGAGTGTTCTTCTTCATGTTTTTAAAATGTGTTTTGAGTTTTGTGGATGAATCCATGCCATTTATAAAGGCTTGGAAAACAAAAGGAAGAAGATTAAAACGGGAGTTTTGACAACGAAGGCAACAGAGGCGAAGGCTGTGATGGTGGTGGGTCAGGGCACAGCGGCCGCCTACAGGCAGGGAGGGCCATGCAGCGGGATGGCGGGGGTGCAGGGTGCCGCCCAGCGCACAGGCCTGCTCCGGCCTCAAAGCACAAAGGGGCCACCTCTGAGGAACCTGCCCTCCTTCCTCTGCCAGGCAAGAGCGGTAGCCAGACGGCAGCGGGCAGCGGGCTGCTTCCCCCTCCTCCCGCCTCTTCTTTTGGCCTTGATTCTGAGTTGCTGCGTCCTGCCTGCACCTGGCCCTGCTCCGCCTGCTCCGTTCTCGCCGCGTCTGGGCCAACCAGCCGGCGGCCATGTCACTGGGTGCTCCTCCGTTTCGCCACGGGCTCCCTCGAGGCGAGGTCCCCTCCCCTCTGTACCCTTGCTGCCCCAGTAGAGGGCCTGGCTTGCATGTTCGTTTCCGTTTGTGGGGTAAAGAGCGCCTCGTACTGCTGCCATAGAGCGGTTCCTACCCAGGGGGGATCTCGGCCAGGCATTTCGGACAGCTGTGACGGTTCTCTCGGGGAGGTGGACAGCGGCAGTCCGCCTGTGGTCGGTCATGGGTGCCGTACAAGGCCGGGAGCCAGGACGTGCTCGTAAGCCTCACATCCGGGTAAGAGCTACTACCTACAGCCTAACAGCACAAGCTGTACAAGAGTAACGGTCGCCACCACGGTGGGCTTTCCCGAGAGTTGTCTATGCGTCAGGTACTGTTCTTAGCACGACATGGATCAGCCCACTGCAACCTCGTGCTACCCTAGGAGGACCACATTCGCTTCCCCTTTTTCAGGTAGGAAAACTGAGTACAGAGAGGTTCAGTAAGTTGCCCAAAGCCACACAGCTCAGAAGCAGAGGAGCCCCTAGATGAACCCGGACAGTCCAACTCCCACATGGTGACTAACAGAGCTCCAAAGGCAAGCAAACCTGATGGATGCAGGTCATCAAAGGAACCGTTGTCACTTTCGTCCGCCTCGTCCTCCTCGTCCGTGTTATCAACAACCGGTTCTGCAGCCTAGGGCGGGAAAGGAGGTCATGACTACATCTAACAGTCCATCAGCCGGACTCGGCTGTTTCAAAGAGAACAGGTTTCATGCTGGATTCATGGCTATGTTTCATCATTTCAATTAAAAGGTAAAAAAATCTAACCCCTTGGGCCCCAAGACTACAGGGGACAGAACAGGTGGCCCTGGCTGCGTCTTTCAGTTAGGGAAAGACACTCAAGAATGAAAGACTTCCCCGAGTGGGAGCCACGGTTGGCATGGGCCCTCTGCCTGCTCAGAGTCCGAACTAAGCCAATGTAGGGCCAACTGATGGAACGGCTAAAAAAAAAAAAAATTCTTGGCTGCCTCTTGAGGGGAAACTTGTCGGGCCAGCAGGCTAAATGATCTTTCAGATGGTGACTCGCTGCATTTTCCAGAAATGACATTTGTAATTCTAAATTGTCATGATATGAATGACCACACTGGGGAACTGGAAAGAGCTAAAATACCAGTCTGTAGCACAAAGGGTAAAGGGCACAGAGTTTGGAGGGAAAAGGCCTTAGAGGCATGCGATGCCTCAAAAGACAGGATGCTGGGGTAAGCAAATACTTGTGAGATCGACCCCAAAAAGCACTTACCATAAAGGAAAAAAACTGCTCAATTTGATTTCATGAAAATGAACTTCTGTTCATCACAAGGCATTATAATGAGAGTATGAGGCAAACTACAGCAACACCATTACACACGTACAGGGCCCGTAAGCAGAGGAGGTAAAAACTACCCATCAGTAAGAAGGAGGCCAGCCACCAAACAGAAACATGGACGAAGGACTTGACAAGGCACTTCACCAAAGCGGATCTCCAAATGGCCAAAAAGCAGATGAAAAGGCACTTGAGTTCATTAATCATCAAAAACTACTGATCAACTCGGTAGTGTGCAAATGAAGAACTGTGCGACAGCAGACCGCGCGTTAAGACAGGCCGCGAGCTGGCAGAAGACAGATGCAGCACACACAAGCAAGGAAGTGGTAGCGTCCGGAACAGCTGAAGAACCACGAGGGAGTGAGAGAAAGTATCAACCCAAAGGCTTTGGGCACAGACCCGAACAAGCGTCTCACACAAGAAAAAAACAGCACAGCTAATTAAGGATAGAATGTGCTCCACCTCTTTCATAATCAGGGACATGCGAGCGAGATGCTTGAGTTACCACCAGACTGGCAAAAATGGCAAAGTCGGCAAGAAGGTGAAGCGACAGGATTTCTTACGCACTGCTGGTGGGGACACACAGACTACCTTTGAGGCATTTGAATCTGTCTTTCTCGTCCGCTTCATAATTTCCTCAATTCTCTATTTAAAGGAAAATAAAAATTCAAACATGAATACAGATGGGGGAAAAAAAAAAACCAGCGGTCCCGAAGAAGTTGACTACTTCCATTTTCCACAAGCAGATGCATCAGAACTGCTCCCAAGCCACCGATTCCACCACCTGGAGACCTCGGGGCGGCTGCCGCGGCCCTCCCAATCCCAGGGTCGGCCGTCCAGAGAACATCCAGAGGCGCAGCAGCGATCCTAGCCATCTTAACCCCGAAATCCAATTACCTTTCACTCCTAATTTTGTAGACTTAGAAATTCATGACTTAAAAGAACATACTATTGCAAACCAGTTAAGACTTTTTAACGTTTTAGTCTGAACAGACCATGACTGAAGCAGATATTAATGAAAAGAATGCACCCCAGTGAGGTGACACTGTCAGAAGTCTGTGGCTGCAAAGAGCACACACGCAGGAGGGAAAGAATTTTCTCCTTGGCGCACACCTGGCCTCCTCAGGGTGACTTATCTCCCAACAGAGAGGCCTTGCAGCCTGGACTAGGGCCTCCTCTGACCCCAGACGAGCCAAATGAGTTGCACAAAGTGAGGTCCCACCTTACAAACGGCCTGCACCTCGGCCTTTGAGAGAAGCCTGCACCTGCTGCTCCCTCCCACTCAGTTGCTGCAGTTTCCAGCCCAGTCCAGAAGAAACTAACTTCTACCAACCACTCCCATGACCGGAGTGATTCTGTTCAAAGGAGCTTTGTTCCCAGGGGTTTGTGATATTGAGGTGTCACTGTACTGGTCACCAGTGGTCCGTGATGGACAGGTGAGGTCAATAAGAGGAGAGACCCTTCTACGTAGGGAGGGTGAGATCCTTGCAGTGGGAAAACTACCAGAGGCTAGCACACCGCTTACTTGTGACTTTGAAGAACACGTTTTAAAATCATGTGCCCAACATTATATTCGAAACGAACCAAACTCCCAAAACAGAAAGAGTACCTTTTTTCTCTCTAATCTCTCCTGCAAATTCTGTAACATAATTCTCTCCTGTTCCTTCTTGCGTTTGTCAGCCTCCTCCTGAGCTTTTATTTTGGCGGCCCCTTTCTAGAAAATTTGCATAAAAATACCACTTACTCTCAATATATGAGTGATAACTGAGAACAACAGCTGAAAAAGTTAAATAAAGGTTAGTAACCTTCTGATTGACAGTACCTATACACACGACATTCGTAAATTCTCAGTTTTCAAAGCATTTGCTAAAAATGCACAAAACCAGGCTAACCATCGTCTTGAGGATTTAGAAGCCATGTCAGTCCCCTCCAGGACCTCAGGGTCACCATTCCAGCACAGGGGTTATCAGGCCACTAGAGTTCCAAAGTCAGTGATTATGTAGCTATCCATTAACACAGCAACAGGGGCCAAAAGTCTCACACCTTTCAAAAGCACTGAGAGGATCCTTAAAGGTAGCTTCCCGAGGAATGCAAATGCACGCAACCATTTATGCGACATACAACTGATTTTATTAAGTGACACACTAAAACTGGAATATTAAGTAGGCTGTGTTAGTAATTCAAGCTGAGTGGAGTCCGAGCTCAGTTTGTGATTTTATTTACCAGATGATCTGAATGTGCATGGGTGAGACATTCTTACTGAGGAACTGGAGGACTTAAACTTTTAGAGGCATTTGTAATTTTTATCGTCCCTGTCCAGGGGTTATGTGGGCTGCAGCTGTGAGCATCACCAAAGAGCTCAGGATTGGGAAAACTCACACAGGACATTTAATCTGTGTGAGCAATGGGGACTTCCTGAAACCAAGCTGCAATGTTGTTTATATAGACAAAATAAAAAACTACTAATTTATAATTCTCAGCTTTCTGCTTCTGTTTCACTTGGAAAATATTCTAGGATTTTGCCAAGGGTGGCTGGCCATGACCTGCAGCAGCACTGGGTAGCAGCAGCTAGACTATAATGGAAAACTGCAGCCAGAGAAGGCTGCATCTGTTCACCATCTTTCTTGGAGAAACAGATTTTTGCCTTGGGTTTCAAATGAATTTTAGAATCTGGTTCTCAACCCCTGATAAAGTAGAGAGCCAGCAAACCTGTAGTAGCACTTGCTGGTCTTCTGGATCTGGACATCCTTTCTTTATTTCCTTCTGTTGTTGCCCTTCTTCCAGTTTCAAGAATTCTTCTTGTTGGCCTTCCACAGCTTTCTCTGCTACGTCCTTCACTTTGCTAATGACACAGCACATTTAAACAGCTCTTAGTATTTGTCTCAGTCTCTACCATATACAGCTTGCAGCAGTACGTGCATTTTTTTAAGTCATCTCTCCGTCCAACATGGGGCTCGAATTCCCGACCCCAAGATCAAGAATCGCGTGCTCCACCAACTGAGGCAGCCAGGTGCCCCATACATGCATTTTTTTTTTTTTAAAGATTTTTATTTATTTGAGAGCGAGAAAGCGAGATTCACTTATTTTAGAGAGAGAGAAAGAGACAGTGCACCGCACACGTGCGCACATGAGTGGAGGGAGGGACAGAGGGAGGAGGAGAGAGAGAGAATCTCAAGCAGGCTCCATGCTCAGCACGAAGCCCAATGCGAGGCTGAGATCTGACCTGAGCTGAAACCAAGAGTCAGATGCTTAACCAACTGAGCCACCCAGGTGCCCCTGTACATGCATTTTTATAGTGAAACTGCTTATATATAGGAACACAACTTATACTTACACCAGACTCACTTGACGTTTTCTATGTTACTGCACAGAATTTACACAATTTCACTTTTTTATTTTTTTAAGATTTTATTTATTTAGGGGCGCCTGGGTGGCTCAGTTGGTTAAGCGTCTGCCTTTGGCTCAGGTCATGATCTGGGAGTCTCGGGGTCGAGCCCCACATTGGGCTCCCTGCTCAGCGGAGAGTCTGCTTCTCCCTCTGACCCTCTCCCCTCTCGTGCTAACTCTCCCCCTCAAATAAAATCTTAAAAGATTTATTTTAGAGTGCACACGCACCTGTGCAAGTGGGAGGCAGAGGGAGAGGGAAAGAAGCAGACTCCCCGCTGAGCCTGAAGCAGGGCTCAACTCGGGGCTTGATGCAGGGCCTGATCCCACGACCCTGAGATCATGACCCAAGCTGAAACCAAGAGTCAGACGCTCAACCGACTGAGCCACCTAGGCACCCCAATGTTACCCTTTTTAAATGCGGGAAACTAGCTCTTGGTAGTAGAAAAAGATTTTTATCAATTAGTGGGCTACTCTGCATTTTAAAAGGAGAGGAAAAAATGGCACTCCTTAACTGTTAAACACAAGGGGCCCTCCAAAAGGCCTCATTATACACATGTTCACACCCAATCTCACACATGATAATTTAAAGGAGGGTCCGGTGGTGCCCAGAGGGAAGCCCATCCACAGTGACCAGTATGCAGGGCTTTTAAAATGTTAAATGAGCTGTTTACACGAAGCAATGAATGATGTTCTTCAAGTTAACATGTTATTTTTGCTATTCACAACATCCCCTTCTTTCTTCCAAACCCATATAAAGTGTACTGAAAGCATGTGACTGCATTTCAAACACTTAATACTTCAAAACAAACTCAGGCCTGTAGTTATTCGGTGCAGGAAGTGAACAGAAGTTTATATTCCGGAGCTCTAAATCAAGTGAGCTTCAAGACTGAGGGTCAAGAAACCTTGCGATGGAGTTAGAATGAACCCAAGTGTACATGAGGTTTGCTGCCCACAGGCAAGCCTTCTGACAAGGACTGATGAGACTGAGGTGTCACAAAAGTCACTGGAAAGCACCCCTAGCAAACCACGAGGAAGTACACTTTCCAGGTTTACAAATTCTGAAGTTACAAAAGACTTCTGAAACAAAGAAAGGGGCTGACCCCAGTGAATGCCAACAGAAACGGCCTGGCACAATCACTCGGGTGTGCCTGCTGAGATATGGGACCCTGCCCAAGTGCTGGCCTCCTTATGCATCTTTTCACACGATGCATGGCTACCACAGACGACTACACCCTCTCTCTACAGACCAGCGTCCTCTCTGCTGGAGATGGTCCCCACATTTGTTTCAAAGGCAACGAGTCATTTCTGATTCACACTGAAGAAAAAGTCAGCTACTCTTTGATTACCTATAGTACATCTAACCTGAAGGTACATTTTGACTTTCAAAATCTGGGCCCCAGGCAAGACTGAGTGTATAGAAGAGTGGGTTTGTGCTGACCTTTGCCCCCTTTCCTTTTGTATTCTTTCTTCTTTATCTCTTCGTTCGCGAGCAAGCCGACGTTTTTCTGCCAAAATTTTTGTTGCTTCCTTGGCATTCATAGTCCCTGGTGTGCTTTTATTACTAGACTCTAGTAGAAATTAACACATAAAACAGTTAGCTTAGGGAACTTAACACCCTTAAGTCCAATAAAGAGATGCAAGACAACCAAAACATTAAAAACCCAAACAATATGCACACGGTCTATAATTTATAAATAACTAGCAATCTGGAAGTAAGTGATTACAAAACAGGTTTGGTTCAAAACCCCAACCCCACTCCCAATAACAGAATTAGTAGTTTGTCTCTTTTTAACAACTACTTGCTCCAAAATGAAATAATGTACTCCCACTCTGGCTTAGCCGTTTTGAGAGATATCTGACTAAACTGAACTTACGGGGAAAAGGATTAAGATACACTTGAATATAGAGGAAGACAAACTTACGAAGTATACAAAGTCTATATGAAGCATATAAAGTATACAAAGTCTATATGAAAGTATACAAATACCCGACTAAACAAAATATCCAGCATGCATTTTGAAATTTGTGCATAATTTTTACTAAATAATTACTATTTAGATGAACACTGGTAACAGTATATTATATCTGATTGATCATATAGTGGCTAACTACATAACCAAAGAAACTAAGACATTCAGTAAAATAAGGTGACCACATGGAGGCAGACTGTAATTATTTCAGTCCAAATGATGACTATTTTAAATAAATCACCTATGACAAGGATCTTAAGACATCAGGAATGAATAATTTATAATAAAAAGATTATTCCTCTGATTAAAAAAAATCACTGTGAAAATCCTTCAAAAAGAAAAATTTATTAGCGTATTTAAAATGTTATGGCCTTGGGGCACCTGGGTGACTCAGTTGGTTGGGCGTCTGCCTTTGGCTCAGGTCATGATCCCGGGGTCCTAGGATTGAGCCCCGCATCGGGCTCCCTGCTCGGCGGAGAGCCTGCTTCTCTCTCCCCTTCTCCCTGTGTGTGTGTGCTCTCTCTTTCTCTAGTTCTCACTCTCTCTCAAATAAATAAATAAAATCTTTAAAAAGTAAATAAATCAATAAAATGTTATGGCCTTTGTATGGAAATGACCGTCAGCTCTCAATGGACACCTGCTCAGCCACAAATGACCAGAGGTGCTCTCTCCAAGTATGGACAACACCTTAGGGCCATTCACGGAACCATCCACTATCAGAGCTGGAAGGGACCCCAGGGATCACCTAGAGCAATGAGCTCATCCAACCGGTCCTTTTTTGTTTTTTTTGTTTTTTAAGGTTTATTTATTTGAGGGGAGGGGGCAGGGGAAAAGAGAGAATCCCAAGCAAATTCCATGCCGAGCACAGAGCCTGACGCGGGGCTCAATCTCACGACCCTGAGATCACGACCAGAGCCCAGACCAAGAGTCAGATGCTTAACTGACTGTGCCACCCAGGGGCCCCCAACCAGTACTTTTAACATCAGTTCCAAAAATGGATTTCCCAAAACAACAAGGGGGTGGGGGTAAGAAGCTCTGGCAAGGAGAAGTAAACAGTGTGCCAATGACTGGTTAAATTCTCTTTATCAAAAGAAGGCCCGCTCCCTCAAGTCCTCAGAATTGGGGAATAAAACAAAGGCAACCATTCCCAAACTACCTTAAGATTTTCCACGTTGCCAAAATGAACTTCTTAGTAAAGGAGCTTACCCTCACAGGCCATCTGCTTTTGGCTCACAGCCTCGGAGCTGTTAGCAGTTTTAGGCACTCCTTCTCTTTTCTTCCCAAGAGTACCTAACGCATTTTGTGCCAACAGGCTACGGTGAACAGGGATTATTTGATAGGAAAGAGGAGACTGTGACTGCTTTGACATGACTGGTGACGGTGATGGGGGACGATTCTTTTGCATTTGCCTGCTGGGAAAAAGTAACCGTTAATGGGGGAAACCTGATATGGTTTTGTAATAGATATGTGCTAATTAAGTTTATAATGTGCCATTTCATAAAATATCATGTCTTGATATTATGAGATACTATTTTAGGATGGGGTAAATCCATTTTTTTTAAAGGTTTTTTTCCTCTTTATATTTACATTGTGATGTATACCACATTATTTCATTTGTGAAACACTGATGTGAAATTTATCCTGGTAAAATACCTATGAGGAACAGGTGCAAAACAGCCACTTACTTAACAGTGACGGGGGAAGGCGGGCGCCGCCCACTCACAGAAGAAGACGGCCATTTATAACACGGTATGTGCGACACCGGGCGCTTCTTGGTAGCGGGCTTTGAGGCCTGTTTGTCCAGCTCTGATTTCTGAGCAGAGCAAGATCATCAGATTAAGAAATGAGCACTTACTTTACTGCAGCTGGCTTTTTTTTAGACAAAAATACCCTGAATATAATACAATTAGAGCTCCTTAAACTCCCCATTTTCTTTTCAAGCATGAGAATTAGGTATAGATATATTCTTCTCGACTAACTATTCAGATTACAAAATTCAAGGTCACAGAAATAATTACCGTAAAACATCTTTCACTCCAAAACCTAATTCTATTTCTAAATCCTGATTGTTTGCAATATTTCTCAAAAAAACTTTTCTTCACAGTTTAGAAACAGTTCAAATAACAGTTACTCCCTGCTACTAAAAATGAACTAATATTCCAGCTTTGAGGGGAAACTATACAACAAATATCAGAGAATTTTAAATAAAGTTAAGTTATCCTATTTTACTAATTTTATGACAGAATGCTATAAATATTAACAAATTGCTTATGTTGTGAAACCTGACCTATCATGACCTACACAACTAAATATACAGATTTTAATAGAAAATTTGTTAATAAAGGGCACTTGACAAACCTGTGGAGAGTCACTCACTTTCACCTGGGAAGATGTTTCCGTGCCCACCTCGGGGGATGCCTCGGGGGATGCCTCGGGGGACGCCTCGGGGGACGCTTCCACACCCTCTTTGGGGAGTGCTTTCACACTGGCCTCAGGCGATGCTTCCACCGTGGTCTCAGGTGACAGGCCCACACTAGCCTTGGGAGCCGCTTCCACGCTGGCTTCCACACTGGCCTCAGATGACACTCGCATGCTCACATCGGGGGATGCATCCATGCTCACCTCAGGAGACGAGTCCAGGCTCACCTCAGGTGACGGGTCCGCACTCACCTCGGGGGACGGGTCCGCGCTCACCTCGGGGGACGGGTCCGCGCTCGCCTCGGGGGACGACGGGTCCGCGCTCGCCTCGGGGGACGACGGGTCCGCACTCGCCTCGGGGGACGACACGTTCGCGCTCACTTCAGATGATATTTCCACGCTCTCAGGGAGGGCTTCAGATGATATTTCCACGCTCTCAGGGAGGGCTTCCATACCTGCTTCACGTGATGCTTCCATGCTCCCCTCAGAGGACCCTTCCGTGCTCACCTTGGGGGTGGCTTCCACATTCACCTCGGGGGTCGCTTCCACGCTCGCCTCGGGGGCCGCTTCCACACTCACATGGGGGGCCACTTCCACCTTCTCCTGGGGAGGCCCTGCCACTGCTGCCTTGCGAAGCACTGTGGTATTCTTCAATTCGTCACTGCTATGGCTACGCAAGGGCATGTTTATATACTGGATTAAAGTACTGTGGGTGCCTGTGGGTGAATGAGGACAGAATGAAATTGCATACACTCAGAAACCGGACAAGACAGAAATGCACCACGTTAACAGTATAAGAACAGGAAGAGAAAAAAGAGAGACTATGTTCATTAGTAAGTTGCAGGAATTACAACACAGAGGCGTTTAGTGAAAAGGAACCCAGACAAGGGACAGAAGCATCTCGAAGTCGGTTACTTCAGAAGCGCCACCATTAAGAGGTGTTGTGAAAGCAACAATCCACTACAGATGAAAAGAGGATGCTTCTCCAAAGTTGATGTTTGCAATAAGCCAGCTCTCTTTTAATCATACTACGGTTTTGAATGATTTTCATAACACAAGATATTCAATACTTTTAAAAAATAATCTAGAACAACTTCACCAGGGCCAGAGATCTTACCATTTCAAGTGATTATGTAAGAAACTCCATATATGGCTATTTTAATGTAAAAAAAAAAAAGAGCACTTTCTCACCCATACTAAAAACTGTAATAAGACATTAATCAGAATGGGCTAGATTTTCAAGGTCTCTTCCATCTTTAACAATCTAAATATTTTTTGCCTAATAAATGGATAAAAATGGTAATACTTAGTACCAGCAGAGGAGGAAAGAAAGTGATAGTACCAATGTTGGGAACCAGGCAGCCCCACATTGCTGGTGGGGTGTGGATCTGTATATGCTCCTGGTAGGAGGGATTGGGGCAATAAGGCATCAAAAGCCATTAAAAGGACATATTCTTTGTTCCCACAATTTTACTTCTAGATCTATTCTTAGGAAAAATTCAGACATGAAAACATATGTAATAAGGTTACTTATAGCACTATTGATAATACTGAAACAAAACGATAATCCAAATATTCAACAGGAAATTTAGAAAATACTAAGGCAGTCATTCACAGTAATAATATACAATTTCTAGACATAGAAAATGGTATGTGTGTATATATATATATACTTTCAAAAGATTTTATTTGAGAGAGTGCCTGCACACACGGGGGAGGGGCAGAGGGAGAGGGACAAGGAGAATCCCCGCTGAGTGGGGAACCCAATGCAGGGCTGGATCCCAGGACCAGGACCAGGATCATGACCTGAGCCGAAGTCAGATGCTTAACCAACTGAGCCACCCAGGCGCCCCCAGAAAAATGGTATATATTTAGACAAAAGCAGATCAAAAAAACAAAAACAGGTTACAATCCCATTTTGTGAAGAAAACATATAAACAAAATATTCAGTTACCAGTGAGTTATTGGGATAATAATAAATTACATTTAAAATTTTTTCTACACTAAATATTTATTGCTTGTATAATAAAGAAAAGTAAGTATTTTTTAGAAAGTATTTGGTAGTAGCTTTTGTAAGACTTGGTAAATTTGTCACCTCCTCTTTAAATCTGGGTGGTAAACTTTTACATGATCTCATCAAATAGTCAAAATAGAACAAATTACCAAAGACTGACTACTCATGAATAAACAATCTGACTGACTTAAATGTTATTTTTTAGTCCCCCCACTTTTGGTGGAAAATGTATTTTATTTACATATCTGTATGTACCTAAACAGTCACATTATTTAACACCAACAATCTGTGCTACAAAAAACATATTAAGTATAGGTATAGAAATTTAAGATAAAATATTACATTTTTGATGGAAGTAACAGATTATTAAACAAGAATGAAAGTTAATACAAGAAATATCTTACAGGTGGGCACCTGGGTGGCTCAGTTGGTTAAGCGACTGCCTTCGGCTCAGGTCACAATCGTGTCCGGCATTGGGCTCCCTGCTCAGCAGGGAGTCTGCTTCTCCCTCTGACCCAACCCCCTCTCATGCTCTCTCTCTCTCATTCTCTCTCTCAAATAAATAAATAAAATCTTTAAAAAAAAAAAAAAAAAGAAATATCTTACAGGAGACCGGGGGAAGACTGGCAGAAAATAATCTGACATACATATAACAGGGCAAAAACAAAGTCAGGAATCTGAACCAAAACAAGAAAAGCTGCACTACCAGAAAGTCTATGATATAGCACTGTAATTTATTTTACTAATCATATGAATATTAACAGAAGAAAAAATAAAAGAATAAAGGTGGTGGGATAAATTCTGGAAAGAAAAAAGTGGAGGAAAAAAGACAAAGAATGATGGGAATAGGGCATTTGAGCTCTCCACTACTGAGGACTTCTTACTACCCACAGGCATGTCTAACACTCTATGTGATCTATAAGTGAGAAAATCCACATAAGCCTGAAGATGGGTTTTATTTTACTAGCTATTAATAAAAAGCTGAAGAGCAGCTCAATGTCATTCTTCCACATTTTAGGGAAAAAAGGAGGGTGGAGTAGGAAACTTTCTCCCTTGATATTATAAAAATTTTTGATACTCTTAACATCCAGTACCTTTTACTGGATGGCACACTGAAGCACAGGTCAAGAAACCCATCGATCTTTAAACATTTAGGGCTGAGGCACATGGACGGCTCAGTTGGTTGAGCATCCAACTCTTGGTTTCAGCTCAGGTGATGATCTCAGGGTCCTGGGATCAAGTCCCGCGTGGGGCTCCCTGCTCCACCGGGAGCCTGCTTCTCCCTCTCCCTCTGCCACTCCCCCTGCTTGTGCTCTCTCTCAAATAAATAAATAAAATCTTAAAAAAAGTCTTTCAAAAAATCATTTAAAAATTTAACAACTACCACACCACAACTACCTTATCTCATCCTAGCAATTAACTATCACCCAGATAACTAATCTACCATGCTAGAAGGCATAAAATAAACATGCAACATAAAATGTTAGGTATAATCAGTCATCTGGAAACTACTGATTCGAATAATTTTTATGCCTTACTGCAACAAATCAAATGACATAACCTGCTTTTTCAGTGCAAATACTAACACTTTCAGGCTTTCTGCCTTATGCCTGTTACCTGGAGTATCTTTCCCAGGGACTGACAAGGAAGCAGCACTTTTGCTCCTGGCTATTGATGCTTTTGTAGGGACAAGTAGGCGAGTGATTAAATCATTCTCCCGAAGACTGGTATACGAGTGTCGAGCTAAATGAGGAGAACAAACAAAAAAGATTCAAGTTGAGGTCTCACAAATAAATGCAAAGCAAGAAAGAGCAATGTGAACTGCTGCAAATGAGAACTTTCCCAGCCTAAAAGTAGAAGCTACGAAAGCAACATATATATAATGGGACTGAACACCGCCACTGGATCGGACTGCCTTGTTAGGGAAGAGAGCACCTGAAGTAAGGGTCAAAGGCCCTGGCATACACAATAACCCCAGTGAAGAAAACTAGGTAACATATCTAACGAAGCCCTATCCAATGTACAGTCTCTACGGAGGAATTCACATATGGAGAAAGAAGTTGTACATGACAAAACAACTTTGGCGTGGATTTCTACAGATATGCCACTGACAAAGTGGTCAAGTTCATTACCAAAAGCTCCAAGGGACTGACTGAATTCTTTTGTTAAAAGTGCATCTTGGGAGTTTTTATGTTCCTAACGATCCCTGTGACAATGGCATTTGTTATAATAGGATCTGACCTGACTCAACAAACTGTAGAGTATTCTGTAAGTGAATGGTTTGGTATAAAACAAAAAGCAACAGTCTTGTTTGACAGAGAAAAGTTGTGGGGGGAAGGTGTTAGAAAGAAACTACTTTAAATAAAGAAGTACTTCAATGGGCACCTGGGTGGCTCAGTCGGTTAAGCATCTGCCTTCGGCTCAGGTCATGATCTCAGAATCCTGGAATCGAGCCCCGTGTCGGGCTACCTGATCAGCAGGGCGTCTGCTTCTCCCTCTCCCTCTGCCCCTCCACCCCTGCTCATGTGCGCTCTCTCAAATAAATAAATATAATCTTTAACAAAAAAAAAAAAAGTACTTCAGTAATAAGTATGAAATTTTGTGTATAATAATCAGCAGTGAAAACATGCACAAAGGTTAGTTAGATGTGGGTAATGCTATGAAGCAACACAGCAAAGCTTTGAAGTTCAAATTATGGTTAATAACTTAAGACCTTCTAAACACTAACTGATGAAATGTTTGAAGAGAATCAAGTCCTCCAGCACAAATCTTTATCTATACCAACACTCTGGGATCTAGTCCCTCAGCTTCATTATAGACTTCTTGCTCAGATGACAGCAGAATTACATATTTCATTTAAGGACAGACTCTTGGCTTCAGCCAAGTAAGTATGGCATCAAAGGACATTTTTTAAAGAAGGGATAGTCTGGCTTCGAATTTTAGGAACGACTTCCCAAGCAACCAATGTTGACATAGATCCTTTTTTTTTTGAGAGAGAGAAAGACAGAAAAGGCGGGGGTAGGGAGGTGCAGGGAGAGAAAAACCTTAAGCAAGCTCCAAGCTCAGCATGGAGCCCAACTCGGGACTCTATCTCCCAGCCCTGAGATCATGACCTGAGCTGAAATCAGGAGTCGGAGCTCAACTGACTGAGCTACACAAGCACCCCAATAGATCTCTTTTAAACCACTATTTAAGACTGGTACTTAGAAATAACTAACCAGTTGGTTTTTCTTCTACTTGTACACTGTCTGCAGGTGTCTGCAGTTTGTTAGATCTTCTATTCAAGGATGAGCTTCTCTTCTTTTCTATTTTTTCTGGAGATCAAAGGCAAAGGAATATTATTTTTTTACAAATTATTTAAATATATTATTTCAGGAGTGAGTCACTCCTCTTTTCAAACATTTTTTATCTTCTCTACTCTTGACTGTAAAAATTTAAATTTCAAATCTTATGTAGATTCTACATCCCCAAACTTAAAACTAGTTTACTCTTTATCTGGAAAATAAAATTAACTAGGAAAAAAACAGTTAAAAATTAAGAGGACGATGTCTAATACTACCTGACAAGATCAACATTCCCAAATTGGGAATATACAACCTTTAATTTTGGACACAATCCATGACATCTATTACTAAAGTAATGTATACTTTAGTTATAATGGTTATTATTTTAAACAAAAATGATCATTAACTTTTGGCACAGATGGCACAATTTTAGCAAACTAATGAAAAACACGGTTTGTGTAGACACTTTGCCACTTCACTTGAAATACTCTGGCCCAGGATACTGAGGAGTGTCTACTTAAAGAATAACTTCTCTTTTGGGAACCTGTAAATTAAATTGGGGACCTGTACATATTGACAACATAGCATCATTTGAAAATTCCTGAATTGACAATGTAATTGAACAGCATGAACCAGAGGTATAATCAATTCAATCATGTGATTAAATCACACATCCTTTATTTTCATACTGCACGTAATGACAAGATAGTGTGAACTGTTATTATGAGTCAGCAATGAGAAGAAAAATAGACAATTTGAATCAGCCAAGCTTTAAAACAGGGCTACTTAAAATATTACAGGTTATTAGACTATGAACTTCATTTGAGTGTGAAATGTTCATCTCTCTGGATCAAACAGGTTTCATTTCAATTTGCAGAGATTTTACAAAGGTAAGCCACCACCAATATGGATTTTATTTTCCCTGACATCATTAATTACAACATTCACTGTTTCAGAGTGTGCAATATACTGTACCTGTAGGTTATTTCACAAAGTATCTTCCACACATACCTTCTCGTATTAAAAACTAGTAAAAAAATCATTTAAAAAGTTACTTGGAATTCTCTTTCAGTGTAATTTAACTAATTATTACCCTAAAAGTAATCACCTGTTCCTCCTCTTTACAAGTCTCATTAATACAGCATGAGGCCTATTAATAAAAGCATACTAGCATTTGCTCATTATATTAAAAACGTCATACACATCTGCGGAAGAAATATTTGCTAACTCCTCAAAGCAATTAGATAGTGAAACAGAGTGAATGCTTGTGAAACAAATAATATATATCAAAATGAATGTATATACATATATAAAATGAAAGTATATAAATACAACATTACAATGAATGCTATCTAATTTTTCTAAAGGATTGAACTGGTGAGCAATAAATTAATTTCATTATATGACAAGGAAGGTGCTAGAGAAAATCTTCCCACATTAACCTACAAATGAATCCAGGCTACACATAAGTGCTCTGGGAAAGCCTGTCAAGGGTTAGGGTGGTAAGTGGATCAACCTTTGTTAGACCACTAAAAGAAAAATGTGATAACCCCAGATGGGGGGCTCCCTGCTCAGTGGGGAGTCTGCTTCTCCCTCTCCCTTTGCCCCTCCCCCCACTTGTGCCCTATCACCCTCTCGCTTGCTCCCAAATAAAATCTTTAAAAAAAGATTTTTAAATTCAAACCGTAATTATGTCTTTTTGTTTTCAATTCACAAGGCACTAAAGTGGGAATAATGTGGAATATGTTTGCTGTGTCTTCTTCCTGCCAAGATCACTTCTGTTTTTGCCTCTGGAAAGGATTTTTTTTTAATTCATTGATGGGTATGGTTGCCTAATTCATTTCAATTATCAGTGGGATGCACCATGCACAACAAGCGAGAAATGGTCACTGACAGGTGAAGGATTTTTTTTAAAAAAGGAACACTAATTAAAAGGGCAAACACCAGAAGCAAAAGGCATGAAGTAGTCATAGTAGATAATCTCTTTTTCTTTTAAAGAACACCACATTAGCGGGGCGCCTGGGTGGCTCAGTCGTTAAGCGCCTGCCTTCGGCTCAGGTCATGATCCCAGGGTCCCGGGATCGAGCCCCACATCGGGCTCCCTGCTCGGTGGGGGGCCTGCTTCACCCTCTCCCACTCCCCCTGCTTGTGTTCCTTCTCTCACTGTGTCTCTCTCTGTCAAATAAGTAAAATCTTTAAAAAAAAAAAAGAACACCACATTAGCACTACCAAGAGTTGTAAAGTGGAGGTTAGCAATGCTTTGCTCATTAAACATGGGTACCACTTCATTTGCTTTGGAGGAAAACACAGGCTTATTATTGAAATGTGCAATTTCAACATCATGATCCTCTATCAAATGACCAAAATATAAACCATAAACAAGCATGACAGAGTAAAGAGCACTGAATTTCTTGAGGTCTTAACTCTAAAGCCAGGAAGGTAATTACACTTGCCTGTCACCTTTACAAGGTTGTCATGAATAAACAAGTATGACATATGTGAAGCAGATCAACCTGCCCACTGCTGTACATATGCTAACATTTTCCTTAAATGAGGTGATATTCGTGAAACTTAATGGAAACTGAATGACCAGGCTAGCTACTCTCTAGGAAAAAGGATTTCATTTACTGGTTAGGTAGACTATGAATCACTTTTATAAGAAGTTATTGTGCCAGGTAATGGCAATGTCTTTTGTTTCAGTTTGGGCTACTTGAACTCAACAAACCCCTCTGATGATTCATATGCAAATTATGAAACAAGGATTAATACTGATGAAAATACAAAATAGTAATGACCATCTCTATCTACTACAAAACAAGGTGGTGCTCTTCTGAAATAAATCTAAATGTTCCACAATCTAAAGGATAAGTGGTACTGTGAAAAGATACAAAAAGAATTTATTTCATTGGTTTAAAATTCAGCAGAATACATGAAATAACTACTTACTCTTAGCAACAGAATTTTGAAGACCTGCAGATGACACAGACATTTGTTTGTGTAAACCAGAAGTCTCTTGTTCAAGTTTTTCAGTCGATACAGAACGTGTATTAGCTGAGAAAAGATATAATATTTACTGTACTCATACTTAAAGAAAGCATCATTAGCTGAAACAAAGTATGTTCATGATGTAGTTCTATGGAGTATGAGCATTAATTAGGTGCACAACGTTCACTGTCATTCCTTACAAATAATATAAATTTGAGTTTTATGAAACTGTAGAATTCTGTCCATTTATAGGAAAATTTAGAGTACCCTCAATAGTAAATGGGGCAGACCTATTTTTAAGATATGCATTGGATAAAGCTGTATAAAGCTTAATCATTGTTACAGAGATCACAAATTTAAATGGTAAGATTTTGGATATACTGGATAAAATGATAATAAAATTTCTTTTGCAGTTTTACATGACACAAATTTAAACATATATTTACTGTGCACACCACACACATGGCAGCATTTTCACTTAAGATACAAAGCTCAAAACCTTGTTGTAAATGCAACCTTGCAGCAATAGCCAATATCTAAATATGAACACGAATGAACTTAAACAGTGGTATTAACTACCAGTTTTGGTTTCTGGGCTCATGGATGTAGAGCCTTCCCATGACCATCTTTTTTGACGATGATCAACGCGGTTGCTCCGTTCCAACGTCCGATAGAGAACAGCTTTAAATCTCTCCTATTTAAAATAAATGCCAACAAATTTTTACATATTCATTATATTGGTTAGTATAATTTAGATCTGTGGATTAGAAAACCAACCCATTACCAAATTTTTGTATCAAGCAAAATTTGGGGGGGGGCAATCAGGTAATAGTTAAAAAGGAAGACAAAAAAAAATAAATAATTGAAGACCATATTTCTGGTATCAATCAATGTCAACGCTTCTCTTAAATAACAGGCTTTAATCCTATGGATATGAATTGAGGAACAGACTGTGCTTCCCTCTGCTTATATCATTAGGAAATTAATTAATGCATTAATTCATTAATTTATCTGACAGAGAGAGAGAATGCGTACAAGCAAGGGGAGTGGCAGGCAGAGGGAGAAGGAGAAGCAGGGAGCCCGATGCAAGCCTCAATCCCAGGGCCCTGGGATCACGACCAGAGCCAAGCAGATGCTTAACCAACGGAGCCACCCAGGTGCCCCTGTGGTATGTTTTTTAAAATACACCTTAAGGGGCGCCTGGGTGGTGCAGTCAGTTAAGCGTCCAACTCTTGATCTTGCCTCAGGTCATGATCTCAGGATCATGGGATGGAGCCCCACACTGGGCTCTGCGCTCTACATGGAGTCTGTTTGGGATTCTGTCTCCCTCTCTCTCTGCCCCTCCCCCTGCTCACTCTCTAAATAAATAAAATCTTTAAAAAATAAAATAAAATACACCTTAAATTCTTTGTAGAACCAGGCAGGGAAAAAAATCAACTTACACATAAGTGAAATCTATGCCAGAATCATCTATAATACCCATGTCTGTAACATCTTAAATTCTAGTGATAATGAAGTTTAAAAGAAAGATAATCGGTGTGCCTGTCTTGACCTCAACTTTATTTTTTTTAAGTTTTCTTTATTTAAGTCATCTCTGCACCCAACGTGGGACTCCAACTCAGAAGATCAAGAGTGTCAAGCTGGCTCTTCTGACTGAGCCAGCCAGGTGCCCCCTGACCTCAACTTTAATTGCAAGGGCTCAGGATAATAGCTATTCAACTGTAAACACCACACTGTGGCAAAACAGCCCCATCGCCAGAAAGAGGCACGCCTGGTTTTCCTTTCTGATATTTCAAGTCCTTGTGCTGTAACAGACTGTGGACTATACTCAGGTAAGCAAATCAACTGCAGGGCCAGGAGGCTTTCTATTCTTCCCTGACAACGACCATTTCATAGCAACATCATCCTCACAATGCCCCCACCATTTCTCTGAGGGAAAAGATAAACATACTAGGAAAATGGAGAGTCATCCATATCCTCTGAGGAGAAAAGCAACTGCAATTCTTAAAATAAAATGTATCTAATGGCAGTATTTTACAATTATATTTAACAGAAAATAAGTTGCTCAAATTACTGAAAACCCAGAAAGTATAATAAAGACTGAAAACAGTGATTCGTCTTGCGTTACTGAAACATTTCTGATTCGTAAGAACCCTATGCCCCTGCTTCCAAATGCACTGGCCCTCTGTGCTCTCAGGTTCCTCTAGCATCTGTGGCTCCTCCAGGTCTCCTGTCCACACTCCCCCCTCCTCGGCACCACCCCCTGCTCTCAGGAATCATTCTCTATGTGCAGGCTGCTCACAGTGTCCCACGGACCCTTCCTGCTCTGCCAGGGACCACCCCGCCCCACCACACTAGTTTTGTGAGGCTGATTCTCTTTTGCCCCTTTTCTCCCTGCCCCTTTGCCTCTTTTCTCCTACCACACCTCTGGCTCCCTCAGCCTCTGCAGTGCTGTTTTATCACATTTTCTCTGGGATCTCTCTCAGGTTCCTCTTTCTCTAAGATTGTCTTTTTTTCTCTCGGTCCCTGGGAGTCTCTCTCCTCCAGGGACACTGTGCAGTGTTCTGTTTTACGTTCTTTCAGTCTCTTAGTTCAAATCTATTTCTGGCCTTCATTCTCTTCACCACAGAAGTAAATTAAGGAGCTCTTTCACAGAGGAAGATGGCAAGTGATAGAAATTCTGAACGAGAGTTCATCAAATACTGGAATATGAAAAAACAGCATAAACAACCATAGAAAAAGGTAGAGAAAGAGAGAGAAGTGATAGTGGACCATGGGTGGGGAAGAAATGGCATGGGCATGGGATCTTCCTAGAAGAAGGAAGATCCACAGACGAGGCAGGGGCTGGGGGTGAGGTGTGTGAGAGCAACTGTGTGCACAAGGAGAAAGAGTGAGCCCCGCAGAGAAGAAGCCTCATGGCGACAAATGAAACCAAAAAGAAAAGACAGAAAAAGAAAATTTAAAATTAGAGCAACAGGGGCGCCTGGGTGGCTCAGCCAGTTTTAAGTGTCTGACTCTTGGTTTCAGCTTAGGTCATGACCTCATGGATCCTGAGATCCAGCCCTGTATTGGGCTCCACACTTGGCAGGGAATCTGCTTGGAGAGTCTCTCCCTCTGCCCCTCCCCCAACTCGTGCTGCTTGCTCTCTTGCGCACGCTCTCTCTCAAATAAGTGCATCTTTAAAAAAAAAAAGAGCAACAGAAGAAAAGAGGGAGAGATAAAAACACACATACTGAGAGAATAGGCAGAAAGCCCAAAGATGGGGGGAGGGTGGAGAGAGAGAGAGAGAGAGAGAGAGAGAGAGAGAGAGAGAGAGAAAAGCTAAAACAAAGAGGAAGGAAAACTAAGGCGCCTCAGGCTAAAAAAGGTCACAGTCGGCCCCGGAGTATCAGAAGACAGACTAAGACTTAGGGACACTTGAGAATCACTGGAATAAAGCCAAAGAGAGAATGCCAGGAAGAAAGAGAATGGTGTCCCAGAGAGCATGGCAGATTCACAAGGAGTCAAGGATCCACAGAGTGAAGTAGTGGAATGACCTACAGGAGAAAACTCTGGTGTCAGAGAGCGTCAGAACACGACAGGTAGTAGCCTTTCAATGCCCAAGCACAGACACTAAAAGACAAACTGACTGAAGAGGAACAGAAGGGGAAAGAGAGGGCATCATGAAGGCAGTGACTAATACCAACAGAGTGCCAGACACCAAAAGAGTCCAGGAAGGTAAAGAGAGAGGCAGGGCCCCAGCACAGCAGGAAGAGCGTGCCAGGCAGAAAGGCAGGGGAAGGAAACCGGATGGGAGAGCAAGCACCGTCATCTGACTGGCCTGCGCTCAAGTCAGAGAAGCCCCTGTGAGAAGTAAGATGGGGGCCTATCGATGGGTCTGTGAACATGAGGGCGCTGGTAGAGAGCTCAGAGCAAACCCTGGGCTGCGACAGCAGGGGGCCACATCCCGGAGGGTGGAAGGGCTCTCTTCCCGGGCCTGTGAGGCTCCTCTTTAGCTCAGCTGGCAGGTCAAAGCTCAGGGATCTGAGAGGTCAGGGACAAGAGGCTCTACTGCTGGAGGGAAGAAGAGAGAACTGGGGCTGGGTCCTTTGGCGGGAAGGGGGGCGCAGGAAAGGCAGTAAAAGGCTAAGAAAAAAGTATTCCAGTGCCAGGCTACACTGCGTAGCATCTGATTAACAGACTAGGAAACATGTACTGTACCCTTTCTTCCTGTAATTTTTGTTTCCTTTTTTCTTCTGCGGATATTCTCCGCTGCTCATCCTTTTCTTTTTGTTCTCTCAGTTTTCGTTGCTTCTCTTCCATCTGTTTTTCATACTGGATCCTGGACTTTCTTTCTTTTTCAAGCAGTTGTGTTTCCTTATTAGCTGAAAAATTCCAAATACATTTGAGGTGTAAGAGCCAAGAAAATATTTAAGTTTTCCACAATCCTCAAAGTTAATATATCTCCTTCTCTTTCTTAAAAAGAACATGACCTATGCTAATAACAAACGATTACATTATATAAGTGAAGGAGAATGGCCACTAAAGAATCATTTGCACTGGGTGTTCATTTAACTCCAGAGAACAGAGATGGCTTAGATGACCCTCATATATCCTGTCCAAACGAAAATTCCAAATTAAAAACAAAGATTTTCTTTCATGTGATATTTCCGCTGATTTGAGTTGAAGTTAAACCCCACCAGATTAACATGCTAAATACATTAAAATAAGAATTAAAAAGAAAACACATGGCCAGAATGTTCTTTTTCTCCTTCTACTAGGAAACTTCTTTCAAAGGCCTCATCTGTGCAGACCGTATTTAAGCCTGCCAGTTTTACACTCACGGAGTTAAGACACCACACTTGGAACAGCATGATGTTTTCCTATGTCAAATTTCCCCTCGCTAAAGCCTGGAGAGCATATATGCAGTTCTAAAATACTCTCCTGAAGAGCTCCAGGAAGAAATAACTCCTCACCAAAACAAAGACAAATGATATCCATTTGAATAAAGCTGAGCACAAGTTTTGTCAAGGGATTTCAAAGGCCAGAGAAAAATGGGTAGTAGTTGAGAAAAGCATTCTCTTGAGGTGTAAAAAGATTATTCTTTTAGATCCTAATTTACACTTGAGAAGCCTATGTTAGGATTATTAGCAACTTCATTTTCCTTTTTAGAGGCATTTTTATTGAAACCCCATTCTGCTTGTTTCTACAAATGTTGAAATGTTCATACCTTAGTTTTCAGAAAATTAGAGCTAACAGAAACTACTTGAAAAATTAAACTGATCAAATATTTTTCATAGGCCTTCTTTATCTGCCTTAGTATAATTATTGAATCCAATATAATATACCCTAGAAAAAATGTAATCTATGATATAAACGGACCAAGAAAAGTAGATAAAATCATTTTGAAAATACGTAACGTTGACAGAAAACTTATTCATTCAGATTTTTTTAAAAAGTCTAAAATATACCTTCTTGCTGTCTTGTCTTCTCCTCTCTACGCTCCTTTGCCAACCTCTGCTTCACAACACTTTTAAGCACGGACCCATCTATTACTAAAAACAAAAAAGGAAAATAAAGTAAAGCATTAATAGATCCGATTTTAATGACATGACACTCTGACATCTATCAAAACACATTCTAGAAATTACACCTGGTTTAAAAGCTGATCTTATATTTGCAGACTGAGATGGAAGAGAGCAGAAACCACTCTGACTCCGTCTTTCTTCAGCAACCGCTTGCGCAGCAGCAACTAGAATACAGGGAGATAAAGGGAAGGGATTAGATACTATGAATACAAACAGCTAATACAAGGGGAGGCAATATGAATACAAACAGCTAATACAAGGGGAGGCAAAACTCCAGCAATCATCCTTGATGATACAGGATAGCATCTCTCATCTAGAAGACAAAATCATGACAGATTAATCCAGGTCAACAACAAAGCCATATTGAGTTCCTGTGATGTTCAACAACAGTTGAAGAAAAAATTAAAGCTGTTTATTGTGGATGTGCCAGCCTATCTGTGGACTTAAGAGTTGTTAGTGGGAGTGGCAGCACAAGCTTGTGGATGAGTAGGAGCTAATGATTAATAGCTTTCAAAAATGCCTCAGACAAGACATTACACCAAGTACTAGAAAAACTGAACCGGGACAGAATTGGAAAAACTGTTTTACCATAAACTGAGAATTTAGAAAAGACTTGGTGTTTACGGATCTGAATTTGGAAGCAGAAGTGTCAACAGTGAGATCCTCAGAGATTGGGCCCAATATTAAAAAGTACATTTATAAATTACCTAGATGTGGGGTTTTCTTCACCTAAGTTGCTTTAAAGATATTAGCAATGCCTGCCTTTCCCCACCCCCAGTCTCTGGGGCGGAGGTCCAGGCATTTCCAGTTGCTAAAAGCTCTATTCTAATGCAGAGAAAGTGGGGAAGCACTCAAGGAATTTCCATTGAAACAGTATTATTCTAGGTAGAAAAATGTCAGGCAAACAAAGATAAATTTACACATGCCTTGTAAAACAGGCCCAAAAGTGGTAAATAAAGTTCAATAAAGGTGAAATACAAGATTAGGGGAACACAATTTGAGGGAGAGTAAGAAAAACAAATGCCAGGATGACACACACACCAATTATTATAGGGGATTCCTGAGCCCTTTAATTCCATTTATGGCTGTATCTAAAATGCCCCACAATGCTGGGAATCTTCAGGAAGGATCTGGAGATTAACACTGAAAACTCTCCTCTACCTTTGTGAAAGCACAGGAAATATGGCCCTGTGATACTGCACACAATTCTGTTTTCTATATACCAGGAAAAAATATAACAGTTGAAGATGGGCAGTTAAAATAATTAAAGGAACAGAGTAGCTGTCATTGTCATTAAAGAATGAAAGGACTCTGAGATGTTCCTTGCCACTGAGGAAAGATATCTGGGAGTCATTTTACAGTCATTTTACCTTGAAAGTGATGTCATAATTGCTGCCATAGGGACCACTATTTCCAAAGGGAAAAAGGAATTTTTTTTTTTTTACCCCGGAGACCTAACAGCTCAGATAATCCATGATTTAGCTAAATTTGAAGATTAGGCTCTTCTCAGCTTCCTTCAACTACCAGCAATTTTGTGGACCACAGATTATCCTCTGAATTTGCATACTAGTATATTAGGAACAATTCTTAAATATAGTCTATAAATGAATTAAACCCTCCTACACTCTCTCCCACTTGTGACATCTCTATGTGAGCACAGAAAAAACAACAGTTGGTTTTGCACATTCCGTTTTCCTGCTTAGAAGTCCCAAAGAAAGTTCATATTTTGGCACAAATTACCTGACCATAAGGACGATTTCTCTCGAAAGGTACAATTTTACCATATTTAAAGATCTTATTAAAGAGCAGTAACCTCAGAATTAGCTGTGGTGGGAATAATGAACTAAATAATTTAAAGGTTAATGTGGTAATAATATCAAGTCTGACTTTTAGGACTTCATAGAACTTCATATCCAAATTCCCACTGGCAAGAAATATATTCACCAAAAGGACAGGCTCTAGAAGTTATTTAAAATGTCCAGGCAATGGGAGAAAGGCTTTATGTCTGAACTTAACAGAGTATTTTTTTTTTAATATTTTATTTATTTATTTGAGAGAGAGAATGAGATAGAGAGAGAGCATGAGACGGGGGAGGGTCCGAGGGAGAAGCAGACTTCCCTGCCGAGCAGGAAGTCCGATGCGGGACTCGATCCCGGGACTCCAGGATCATGACCCGAGCCGAAGGCAGTCGCTTAACCAACTGAGCCACTCAGGCGCCCCTTAACAGAGTATTTTATTCAACTCCGTTGAATGAAGGAATTCACTCACCATTCATTTTAAAGCTACAGTAAGGTACAGTTTAAGTATACTACAGTTATTTCTGTAGTTCCTACACTAATTCTGAATCCCAAATTAAAGTTAAAAGTTACCTTTTGCAGGGCGCCTGGGTGGCTCAGGTCATGATCTCAGGGTCCTGGGATGGAGCCCCGCATCCATCCTCCATCCCGGCTCCCTGCTCAGCGGGGAGTCGGCTTCTCCCTCTCCCTCTGTACCCGCCCCAGTCATGTTCTCTCTCTCTCAAATAAATAAAATCTTAAAGAAAAAAGTTACCTTTTGCCAGTAAGTTAGGAAAATGCATAGTTTATTACTAAAACGGAAATATGAACCTTAATCTATATTTATGGTACTTTCCTAAAAACTGCTGTAACAAATAATGTATATCACCTCACCATTTACGAAATTCTTTTCATTTGTATGACTTCGTTAAATTCTAACAATCCTATATTTTTTATAGATAAGAAAAACTGAAGCTAAACATTACTTTTCCAGATCACACAGGTAGTAACTGGTAAAGCCAGACCTTGATTCAATTGTAGATTAAGAAACAACTTTCTTATCAAGGACCAGACTGTACAAAACCCACATTAACCTTTATACGACTTAGTTCTTTATTCCCACCTCTGCTCCTTCTAAGGTTACTTCTGTTTCCCCTCCTAGGGGGGGAAAACTAATTAAAAACTCAATCATCCTGGATATCTAGCCCAATAAAGGCCTCAGAATCAAATGAACCAAAAATAGGCACCACTAAAGATGCCAAAGTTAAAGAACGCTTTACATTAAATAGATTTTTTTAAAAGATGTCATTGAAATCTTGAGGCTTCTTTTGGACATAAAGCATTTTAGCTCATTACCAACTTCAATATAGTGGACATTTCTGCTTCTCTCTGCCACCCCCTCCCCCAATATACACTGGATCTGTGTCACCAGGGCAAGCTAAACACAACAAAGGAAGAACACTTTTCCGTGACAACTAGTTCAAGTATGGTAATAATCTTCCTAAAGCTGCACAATCACTTCAAAATGCTTAATCCCATGAGATGCCAATGATAAATACTCATCCCAATATTTGTTCAGCAATTCTATGTTGTCTGCCACAGCTGTTGCTCTTGATATCACTCAGAATTCAACATAACATCTGTAGCCCCATTTCACCATGACCCTTCTTCCCCAAGATCCTTTCTTCTGTGCTCATTAGAAATATTAGAGCACATAAACTAGTATTTTTATTAGGTAGCAAAGGGCGTAGATTGCAAAAAATGACTGAAAGGTTGTGTTTTGTTTTTTTTTTTTTAAATAGAATGGCTCCGATTGTGGCAGAGAACCACTATACTACGAAACTAATTGTTACAGATTAACAGATTTAGTGCTAGTCACTGTGATTTGGAAAACAGAATAAGCAGCTGCAATTGCGACAAACTCCTATCATGGGCTCCTGCTGGATATAGTGCACTGGGGGGGGTCTAGCAGTAGACTGTTCCAGCAGCTCAATACCTGACCCCCCTTCCCACAGCTGCTGGCTCTGTCCTAATCCACTCTCATTCAAAGCTGAGCAGTTGAGAGTGGCGTAGTCCCTGGCAGATCCATTCCACCCATACCAAGGATGGTATTAGGACTCTCCTCATGGCATTAGGACAGTCATTAGGCAAGGAAGAGGGTGGGAAAATATTTTTTTAAAAAAAGGAAATCAAAGATATCTGCAATTAGGGGCCCACAAAAATAAGGCAGATTCACGTAGTTTTGCCTAAAACAGCAACAAAGTCATAGGGCTGAGAGAGATTTCCTAAAGATCCCTAGAACCAATCCAAAGATAGCGTGTCTTGGGGCACCTGGCTGGCTCAGTCAGAAGAGCACGAGACTCTTAATCTCCGGGTCCTGTGTTTGAGCCCCATAGTGGGTAGAGAGATCACTAAAAAATAAATTTAAGACAAAACAAAAAACTCCTCAAAGACAGCATGTCTTAAAGTAAATTACAGACAGTTTCCTACCATTCAGAGCTGTCTACAGTGGAATGGCTACTTGGAAAACTGTGAAGCTATTAGAATACACATTCAAGTTGGAGAAGCTGCCCAGGATTTTATAGCTGGGACTCTGGGTGCTGGACTTGAGAACCTTAAGGTTTCTCCAGCTCTAAAATTCTATAATGATCTGACTCAATCTTAGTAGCTTTTTCTGTATTTGTTTAAAGTATTCTGAGTAACTTACCCTAAACTTAGAAATTACTTGAGAATTTAGAAAAACAAAAAAGGTGACAAGTCAGTGGCAAAGTTTCTTATGCTCATCAGGTTGAAACATTCACATAAATTATCTTAAAACAACCATGTATAAAAATATAAAACACATGTTTTGTTAAAAGAAGTGTATTTTGGGACACCTGGGTGGGTCAGTCAGTTAAATGTCTGCCTTCCGCTCAGGTCATGATCTCAGGGTCCTAGGGACGAGCCCCACATCGGGCTCCCTGCTCAGCGGGGAGTCACTTCTCCCACTCTCTCTGCTTCGCACCCACCCCCCTCCCCCCTCATGCTCCCACCCTTCCCCTTTCAAGTAAATAAAAATTTCCAAAAAGTCTGTTTCTTCAGTATGCTACAATCTTAGCACAGTGCTATGCACAGAAAACATAATTCAATTAAGGTACATAATTCTTGCACCTGAGAAGTTATTTGTTCAGGGACAATGTTTTAACTCTTGGAGCCAGGCTCCCAGCAGGAAATAAAATTGACCAGATTAACAGATTCAGGGCTACTCATCGTTATTTGGATAAGAGAATAAAAAGCAACTGTCACAGTGGCATTTCATTTGCCACAAAGTGGCAAAACATTTCAATGACTCCTTGTCCCCTTCAGGAAAACGCTGAGACCATGAGGGCAAATCTAGTTAAAGCTGGTACTCTGTGAAAAGTCTAACATATAACATGTGATGTTTTCAATTCTTAATAGGAAATGGGCAACAAGGAGTCAATTAGGGTTCTGGGTTAAGCCCTTTTTGCATGACTAAGTTTTTGGCTTGAAATACTGTGAATCCAATCAACTGTCTCATACAAGATTTTAAAATACTTCACAACATTCAATACCCAAAAATGCTTGGGAGGGGGGTTATCCAGAATGTTGGTTACTTTAAATCACTGAAATAAACCAATGGCAGAGAGCCTTAGGTGTCGACAAACAATAAAACAATCCGAATTTACTGCAAACTCTTGACTCTCTAGGTAAAGATGAAAGTGTATTTGCTTCTGATACGTTGGGGAGTTGATTCGAAGTAATCTGAAATAACACAAAGCCTCCCCATTCGCAGCCAATTTTTCAACTGCAAATGAAAAAAATCCCTAAGGATTTCAATAAAATCACTTAAGATCGTCTTATTCTCAAGTTCATAGCACTAGGAAACTAGCCTGAGAACAGCAAGTAATCTCTCAAAAGCGAGAAATACCATTTCCCTCAGCTAGCAGAGCAGTCTCCTGGGCTAAGCAATGCGTTGCCAAATTTTATAAAATTAACGATTTTAGGGGGAAACACATTTTGGCGTTGGGACCAGTTTAGAAGAGAGCACACTGAAGTGCTGCTTCCCGTTCATTGCAGCCTAGGGTCTGCAAGATGTCCCACGGAAGGTGACATCTTGGCGAAGTCATGTGCTACAGCAGGCAAATCAGGAGCAGCGGAGAGGCAAGTTTCTTCCAACTTTCAAAGCAACAGCCCCCCAGGGCTCCGTCCTCAGCGGACACTGACCGGGAGGGTGCGGCAGATTAAGCCCTTGGGAGAGGCAAGGACTGCGACCGTGGGAGAGGATGCGAGCGCGAGCGCCCCGCGCAGAGGGAAAACTCCCGGCTCTCGGCGCCTGGAAGGGCTGCCCCCGCGCGCGGGGTCTGGGCGGGCGCCCGCACATCCCGGGCTGTGGCGCGTCAGTTCGGCGGCTGCGCGGGCGTCCACCGCCC